TGGCTGTTTGCCTGCCTGCCTGCCTGTCTGTCTGTCTGTCTGTCTGTCTGTCTGTGTCTGCCTGCCTGCCTGCCTGCCTGCCTGCCTGCCTGTCTATATGCATGTATATGTGTGTGTCTGTGTCATTGGCGTCCAGAACTGATGTGTATTTAGTGTATGCAAGTAACTCTAAGCAAGTAAGAATGCACGTATGCATGTGTATGTCTGTTTTTGGCATGCATAAAAGCGCGTGAGTGCGCATATGTAGACATGAAAAGAGTTCCTCTTGCACGTTGAATTGCCGGCGTCTCGCACAGAAGCCTGTGTGGCAAGGTTTTCGTAATCCTCGATTCCTCTGCAGGAAAAGGGCCTGTGGAAGCTGCATGTCCGCAACGTCACGACTAGGCGATATAGAACCATGCATGCAGGCTTCTGCTTGAATCTTTGCTGCTGCAGCTGCTGCTGCTGCTGCCGATCTTCTGTGATATCTTGTGTGCTTCGCTGCTAGGACCTTGGACAAACAGCAAGACAACAGGAATGTACGGAAAGGCGACTTGCGAGAGCTCGCACATGTCAACTGCGGAGGGGGGTGGGGGGCCGAAGGCGGTGAGTGAGTGCCTTCGTGATGACAACAATCGGCACAGGGACGAACCATGGAAACGTGCTTCGGGCCATGGCTTGAAATACAAGAAAAGAAAAGTTGGCAGATCAAGTAATGCTGGAGCCAGAGTGTCAAGTTCTTGCACATTAGGACAAGCAACCTCCGTCCCCCGTCCAAGAAGGCTGCAATATGTTCCACAGCAGTGTCTTGCAGGAAACACGCCCAGCGAGTGACCCGAACATCAAGGTGCACTGCACTGCAAGCAGAAAGGATCTGCTTCAAAGAATGGCTCTCCTAGGTCTATAGGTTCTTGCTCTCGACCGTCAGCTTCTTTACTGGCACGAATGACCTGCCCCAAATTTCGGTGCAGGCCTCGTCGCAGCTGTCATCCCGATGTCTGTGCCTGCAAGCTCTGACTGGCCAACAAGGTAACCAACACCAACACCAACATCAACACGACCACCAGCACCACAAGCACCACCTTGCCCACCAACGACAACAACACGACAACAGTCTCGTTACTGCTAGTAACCGCTAGGACTTCTCCTCCTCCTTTCCTCCTGCTCCTACGACGACGGGGACTACTGCTGCTGCTATAGCTACTGCTACTGCTGCTGCTGCTGCTGCTGCTCCTGCTGCTCCTGCTCCTGCTCCGGCTCCTGCTCCTGCTCCTGCTCCTGCTCCTACCACTACCACTACCACTGCGACTACGACGACTACTACTACTATACTGCTACAGCTTCCACTGCTACTTCTTTCTGCTGCTACAGTACTGCTACTAGGACGCGAGGACGCGGACATCAAGTAGAATGTGGGGGCTCTGCTTTCGAGAAAACGCCTGGCAGGCTGCCAGTCAGACTAGTTCAGGCGTGTTTTGGGCATGCAGCTGAGGGCTTACAGTTAAGGCTTACGAAGACACCGCGTCGGAATCTGCAGTTCTTTGCTCCAGTCCTTGAACACGGAACACACGAAGACCCCCCCTCCGCACACTCGCTTTCTCCCACAGATTTGCATGAAAGTCATGCAAGTCAGGTTTCAGGAAAAACAGAAGTAGCACATGTTAGTGAGGGCACACATTGCATCAAACTGTTCGAGGATAAACACTGAGACGTTCAAGTTTTTTTGATACACGAGCCTAACATAGCATAACCAGTCAACTAACACACACACACACACACGCACAAACAATATGCACACATGCAGTTGGACGCAGGCGGACACAGCTTTAAATTTGCACACATTGCAAGAATAGCTGTGCGAGGAGGACGTGGAACGGCTAACTGATTTCTGCTGCTTGCCACGCTAGCGGGTACCGATTTATTGAAATCGAATGATTCTACTTGAGGCCCTGGTAAAATTCGTCGCCTCGCTAGCTCGCACCCACTTGCCCGCAATGCCCACCCTGCCATATCCACCTTATCCTAAACCCTAAACACTCTGAGATCGTAAAGCCCTACAGTAAACCCTAAACCCGAAAAACCTTTTTTGCATCAGGACTTGTGCAATCGCCTGAACACTGACTTCCACAACGCAAAGCGTTAAAGCCCCAACGTCCTAAGCCCCAAACCCTTCGCGAGTGGGGCGATCAGAAGTATCCTTATCTCGAAGACACGCAGGACGCCCCACTAGCGAACGGTTATCGTCATCTCGAGTACAAGTGGGGCAAGTGACGTTGGTGTTGGGAGGTCCTGCGGCTGGCAACCATTGGAAGGTGACAGAGATTTAGGGTTTAGGATTCAGCGTATAGTTTTAAAGTGACTTTCCCAAGTGAGTTCAAGAACCCGGGTCCCAGAAAGCTGATTTCAAGTAAAGGTGATTACAGAGTGAATTGAAAGTAGGATTGAAGCCCTCAAATCAACTTGAAATCACTTTTGTGGGTTCTCGATCACTTTGAAATAAATTTCCAGGCCCTAAATCTAAATCAGTTTGAAATCACTTTTGGAGGCAGTGATTCACTTTGACATCACTCTTGTTGGGCCTCGATCAAAGATTTCAAAGTGAATCACTGCCTTTGACTTTGAAACGCTGCTCTAGTACCAAGCGAATCACTGCCTCCCAAAGTGATTTCAAAGTGATTCAGGGCCTGGAAATTGATTTCAAAGTGATCAAGGCCCCACAAAAGTTATTACAAAGTAATTTAGGATCACTTCTGCGAGTAGCCCGGATCACTTCAGAATCACTTTTTGAGTAGCCATTTCACTCTTGCGAATGTCCCACATCACTTTTCGAATCACTTTTCCCCGGTGCACGAAACATCCAAATCACTTTCTCAAATCACTTTATATCACTTACCTTTCCAGAAAACAATTCGTCCAAACCATCCCAACGGTTGCCCGACCGGGACCTCCCAACGTTGGTGGTTCGAGGGAGTGCGGACAACGAAACATTGCATGCCCACTCCTCAGACCGAACCAGAACCTGCAACTGCAACTGCAGACTATGTTGAACTCAGACGCATCCTGAAGCCCCCGATCTTTCGGTTTCACCATAAGCCCAGACCCGTTTATCGGCCTATGGTTTGTCGGAGCCGCCTCTGCCTCCTTCAACGTCACCTCCACGGAGCCTTCGGCGAAACGGATCTCCTCTCCTGGCACACCTTGGGCCGAGCGAGAAGAGTAGACAGTCTCCGCTGCAGGCAAGGTCTTTTCAAGATTCTTCTCTCTAATTATTTGTTTGCAAAGGTTTTTGGGTTCTAAGGGTTAGAAAAAATACCGTGGAGTTTCTGAGGTCTAGGGTTGGGATGCTGATGGCTGTGGGTGCTAACACTGTGGTGAGCGGCATCTAAGACTACATTGACTACATAAACCGGCAATGGCGCATTGTTTCTATCAACTGAATCAAACAACAGAACCGAAAAGCGTGTTGTCTCTATCTGTTTATTTTCTTGCATGGTAATACCAGCAAAAATATTGTCAGGTTCGCCGGACGGATGCACGGATGGACAAACACACAACTTGCACACACACACACACACACAGACACACACACACACACACGCATAGAGTTACAAGCCCTTTTGGGCAAGGCCCTGACAATGAATCTCAGCATTCTGTGTTCTGTGGAAGTTTTGGGCTCGGAGAGAGGACATCGTACAATGCAAGCAAGCTCGCCTGTAAAGCCTCAGGCAGTCTGCCGGACATTGATTTCAAGGCTTAGGATTTGAAACCCAAGCCCCAAGCCGTAAGCCCTGCACTGGAGCGCAGGGTTAAGGCCCGGCTCCGTCTAATTACGGATAGAATCCTTTTTCGGCTCCGGGCGAGAATGACCGCAGGCAGAGGTATGATGTATGACACCATGACACCTTGCTCTGTCACACCCCATCCCGTAGAACGCAAGGAACCTAAAATGACCAATGCAGAAGCGAGAACCATAGCACCTCTGACCTATTTCCTATGGGCCTAGTCGCTGGCAAGCTAGAAACAAAGGAGATCACCAGCAGCATCACTAGAATCAAGATGGACGCTATGAAGTAAGGGGGTGAAACCTGCGAATGTCGCTGACACAACCGGTTTGTTCATGCATAGTTCGTTTCTGCCACGATGCAGTCCGGATGTCAACAAATGGCGCCTGCCTCGAAAAGCCCTGGTAGCCAATCCTAACTCCGAGCTTTCAATAGTCAAGAGGTTTGTCGGACCAATAGGTTAAGTGGTCAGAATACTAAAACTTGGGTGGCAGTCAGGAGTCATTCATCAACTCGCTACGGGCGAAAATGAAAGCTGAACTGTGTATCCACACGGCACTAACGTCTTAAGTCCATTGACTCCAATTCCCCAGCGACATGTCGTTTGCCTTTCGGCATGATTCTATGTACAGCCAAAGGCCCTTCCGGTGCTACTGCGGATTCAGGAGCGTCCGAAGGCCGAGCCACCTGTGGTGGTCTGGGATTTGGACTGAAGCAGAGGCTGGAACGAAATGTTACAGACTCGTCTCTCTCTCTCGAGCAGTTGTAGCATGAGAGGCTCGACGGTTCATTCGGTTCATGTTCTTATGCAGTGTAGTGATCCGCAAATCCTGTTCGCGGAAGGAAGCCCAGCAGCCGGCATGGCGCATCCTAGATGGAAGAAGGTGCAAACTGATCGTAGCAGCGATGGCTGGTGCAAGTACTCCGCCGCTGTACCAAGCATCACAGAGCAACGGCTCCTGACCCTGGGCTAAAGGTCGCAATAAGTTGTTATGTTGTCCTATGTCGTACTGAAATTTCACCGGGGACTATGAGGAGTACTACGTACTAGTAATTATTCCAGTCTTTACCCTCAACTCTCGCCGCCAGTGTTACCAGTGTTCCCGCCTGTCAATGGGGGCGACAACCTCTGGCATCGAGGCATCCGACATGGGGCTCTGCCTGACTATAGGCGTGGGGATTGGTGGCTTTGGATGCCGAAGCATTTTCGACCGAGGATGGATCATTCCCCTAGACTATGTGACTAATGAAACGTGACAGCCTGGTATACGCCAGTCGAGAACATCGAAGTCCGTAACACAACATAGATGTGGAGCTGTCCAACCGGCCATACAAACTTCGTGATTGTTGGAGGGCCCCTACAGTTCAAGTCTATGAGGTCTGGTCTTCAGTAGCAGCCTGCTGCGCGCCCGCCGCTCAATCCTTGGTCTTCACACGTCCATGCGTCTCTATAGGATTTCTGCCTCCTACTTTCTACAGTGACTACAATGCTTCACACTATGCTTCGTGCACGATGCCGCCACATTCGAATCAAGCAGCCCCAACTCCTAGCACAACCAGCTCCGATACGGAGTCCTTTGGGCGCCAAGCCTTGCTTAACCAAGCAACACCAGCACCACCACCACCAACAACAACCAACCACAACAACAACCACCACCACCACCACCGCCACCACCACCACCACCACCACAAGAACAACAACAACACTAGCAGCAACAACAAAAACAACAACAACAACAACAACAGCAACAGCAACAGCACCAGCACCAGCACCAGCACCAGCACCAGCACCAGCACCAAGAACGCCAACAACGCCAACAACAACGGCAACGGCAACAGCAACAGCAACAACAACGACACCACCACCATCAACAACAACAACAACGCCAACAACGCCAACAGCAACGGCAACAGCAACAACAACGACACCACCGCCACCAACACCAACACCGACACCAACACCGACACCACCACCACCACCACCACCACCACCACCACCACCACCACGACCACCACGACCACCACCACCACCACCAACAACAACAACAACAAAAACAACAATCAACAACATTCATCAACAACAACAAGAACAAGAACAAGAAAAATAACAATAACAAGAACAATAACAACAACAACAACAACAACAACAACAACAACAACCACGACCACGACCACAACCACGACAACGACAACGACAACCACACCCACACCCACACCCACACCCAAAC